AAAATTTTTTTTTTTTTTTTTTTTTTTTTTTTTTTTATATAAAAGCATTCAAGAAACCATAATTTCGTTAGTGCATGCACAGTCAATTTCTTTTATGGAGCATTGTTAATTTTTTGTCACTGCTAAAACTAATCTATTATTCTTCTCAATCCTATAATGAATAAACCCTTTGATACTTCAATATACCCTTTTTATATGGATCTTGCATACTACGAGATTATTATATGCGACAATTAAAAGCTAAGCATTCAAGAAACCATAATTTCGTTAGTGCATGCACAGTCAATTTCTTTTATGGAGCATTGTTAATTTTTTGTCACTGCTAAAACTAATCTATTATTCTTCTCAATCCTATAATGAATAAACCCTTTGATACTTCAATATACCCTTTTTATATGGATCTTGCATACTACGAGATTATTATATGCGACAATTAAAAGCTATTAAAGAATTAAGATGCAGGACAATACCATAATAAAAAAGTAGGTGCTACTTATATGACTAGACAATACAAACGCATCTCTTACTCAATAATAGAAAGAACTCCATCAACTAGTGACACTATAACATAGTTCAGCCACTTCAAAATGACTCCAGATGAACTATATCTCGTTTATGCAAATTTCCAAACATCAATTCTTGGTGGTTGGATCTCCTTTCTTGTTGTCCTCCTCTCACTCCTTGGGAGTTGTCCTGCAGAAGACACTCTGATGCTCAAGTCAAGCAAATATCCAAAAGAGGACAAGAATTAAAGAATTAAAACAAAGAAGAAGAGAATTCAATAGAACAAGTATCGCTTTCGATTCTCTACGACCAACTTCTTCTTTATTCTCATCGTTCTATTTATATGATCGAATGAATATTCTTAATCCATCCTGATCATGAAATGTCATCATCCCTTTTCCTCTAGGATTTCTGCAAGGATATTCCGCCTCTGGAATATCCTCAGAGGTTTCCCTCCTTCGAAATTTTTTTCATTCCGTTATTCACCTTTACAAGTGTCGCGATTGGGTTGGACACATTTATTATGAGGGATAGCAAGGTGTGTGTCATTGTACGAAGATTCTCCTTCTGACACAAGTCATCTTCATTATCCTCCTTGATCTCGGTCTATTTCGATCTCGTAATGTCAGAGTTCTCTATCAGCCTTAGTCTTAGTCTCGGTCTTGATATATCTATCTCGATCGAGCTCCGCATTCTCCCTCAATCGAGATGGGATTCAGTCTATGGGTCGGTCAATCTATTTAACTTGGGTTTTGGTTTCTCATCCCTGATTGTTCCGTGACACGTGTCGTGATCTCAATGGTCTTTGAAAAAACCCCCCAACACATATCAGTCCTAAAATAGACTGCTTAACTCAGACTTAGGGCAGTGGAGAGACCGCCCTCTAGCCAAGACCTAATGCTGATAGATGGAGACACCATCACCGTTATTATAACATAAATGAAAACATAAAACATAAAAACATAAAAAAAACTCTACAAATATCCCAAGAGATCAAACTAGCAAAATTGAACCCTTCAATGCTGGAGGTGTGTGAAGCACGGTAGGAGTGGTGCTGGAGAAAAGCTCTTGAAACAACATAAAAACCCACATGTCACCACCAACGAGCAACGATTGCCACACGCTCCGGTCTACCTTCCTCGTCTCCCTTCCACGATCTATTCCGAAGTTTCAATGGAATCCCACGGTGAACGATGTCCTAAATTTAAAGTAAAAGATCAGAAACTGCTCCCACTTAAAGAGCTTTATTTCAGTGACTATCCACACTTATAGTTAGTGGTGTGTGTCATTGTACGAAGATTCTCCTTCTGACACAAGTCATCTTCATTATCCTTCTTGATCTCGGTCTATTTCGATCTCGTAATGTTAGAGTTCTCTATCAGCCTTAGTCTTAGTCTCGGTCTTGATATATCTACCTTGATCGAGCTTCGCATTCTCCCTCAATCGAGATGGGATTCGGTCTATGGGTCGGTCAATCTATTTAACTTGGGTTTTGGTTTCTCATCCCTAATTGTTCCGTGACACGTGTCGTGATCTCAATGGTCTTTGAAAAAATCCCCCAACACATATCAGTCCTAAAATAGACTGCTTAACTCAGACTTAGGGCAGTGGAGAGACCGCCCTCTAGCCAAGACCTAATGCTGATAGATGGAGACACCATCACCGTTATTATAACATAAATGAAAACTTAAAACATAAAAACATAAAAAACTCTACAAATATCCCAAGAGATCAAACTAGCAAAATTGAGCCCTTCAATGCCGGAGGTGTGTGAAGCACGGTAGGAGTGGTGCTGGAGAAAATCTCTTGAAACAACGTAAAAACCCACACGTCACCACCAACGAGCAACGATTGCCACACGCTCCAGTCTACCTTCCTCGTCTCCCTTCCACGATCTAATATGAAGTTTCAATGGAATCCCACGGTGAACGATGTCCTAAATTTAAAGTAAAAGATCAGAAACTGCTCCCACTTAAAGAGCTTTATTTCAGTGACTATCCACACTTATAGTTAGTGGTGATTTGCTACAATATTAAAAATTATATCAACTTAACTACTTAATAAAAGTTCTCAACTCAAGGGAAAAAAAACTAACTAGTAATATCTCTGAAGAATTTTACTGAACGATATCTAAAAAATATTTTAATACTTGGATATTTATACCGCGCCCATCATAATCATATTATAGTAAAAGATAAGTTAAAGAATAACCCATATAATTCTCTCTTTTTTTTTTTGTCAAGCTATTCAATTTTATTAATATCACATAATGTGATTGCCTAAGAGATGACTCGTGCAAATGAAAAATAAAAAGTAAAAAGAATTTTTTTGATAGGATTTTCTTAGTAGTTGAATCAATTTCTAAAATTTAATTAAAATAACATTAAATTAAAAAATAAATATATTAAATAAATAATTTTTGATACAAATTTTATAGTCCAAAACAATCTTTTCGGTTTTTTTTTTTTCCCACTCCCTACCAAATAAATCTTTGAATACAAAAACATGTAATTTATGCTTACATCATTGCATGTGTGGCATTAAGTAAATCATAAAAGCAGAAGATTTCTGACATTAAAAGTCTTAATTGGAATGATAAAGGAGCAGTTCTGACATGGAAAGTCTTAATTGGATTTCTACCAAAAAGGGAAAAAAGTATAAAAAAAAGTAAATAAGTCTTAATTGGATGTTGCCAATACACACAACAGACCAGCAGCCAGCATGCACCTTGCTGCACCTTTTTTCACCATAGGTCTGTCTAATCCACCCTATCATCATATTTTGTCAAACATGGACGGCTATCCAAAATACCAAAAACTTTATTTTGGGAAAATTCTTTGATGGTTACAAAGAAATACATTATGATCATTGATCAACACTTTGTCATATGTATCATGAGATTTTCATAAATGTTTCTTAATTTTACATATAATATTAGATTTTATTTTAAGGTATATTTATAATAGAGCACACTATTTTATTCTATCACCAGGAACTAGATTTTAACAATTAGATTAATTTTTTAACAATGTGATATGCAATAAGAACAACTATGAATTGTACGTTATGAATTTTTAATATGAACATGCATATAACTAACCGTTAAAAAATTAATCTAACAGTTAAAAATAATAATTAATCTTACCAGTGAAATAAAATAATTTTCTCCACTATAAAATAAAATACCATATAGAGATGAAGATCTTAATCGATCACCTTTTTTGTCAGTCAACAACCAACCTGAATCGTCCTCCACTAGCTTTATATCCTTGACACACGAGGACGTGGTGGGAAGGAAGTAACCCTAACTTCTATAGACTGATCCTTCCCTTGATTTTGTTTTGATATAATTTTGATGTGATTTAACATTTTAAAACATACAGGACTCTTATCAACTAATTAACAATAAGGGTTCGTTTGGTATAAGGATTGAAATCAGGGTGATTTGAGTCATTTGATTCAGATCCATGATTCATGATTTGAATCATGATTCAGAGTGATTAGAACATTCGTTTGGATGTGTATATGCATGATTCTGATTCTAACCTGAAATGTGATTCGAATCAGTGTTTGGTTGTCTTATTTTCTGAATTTAAATCATGACCAAAATAATGTAATTTAAAAAATTATATAATAAATATAATTCTTTACGTGTAATTTGAAAAAAAAAAATATAATTCGTTAAATTTAAAAAATGAAGTACTAGAAAAAAATTATGTAAATAATTATAACTCAAAATTATAACAAGCTAAGTGAGAAATAAATGGAAAAAATGTGAATAAAATTATATAACATGCCAAGCATATATCAAACTTGTCTCCCACGGCTTCCATTATTTAACAAGCCGGTTTAGCAAATTTCTCAACTTCTTCCAAGTACCGATTGTGGGAGAATGCCAACCATCTCTCCCAAGCCAGGGAGTCTGTCGAAAACCTTCCGAAAGAGACGGATTCGCCTAGTGCGTGGAATGGGTCCCCTGTAATAACAAATGCATTCAATTTTCTCACAAATGCAATAATAATAATAATAATAATGATAAAAGCTAACAAACATTATAAGATCAAACCGAGAACCACCAACAACCAAGAACCACCAAAGCAGCATAAGTTAACATTTTTGCAATGCAATACTATTAGTGTTACAAACTAACCTCTTTGGCTTCACGAAAACCTCCAGAAGGCTGAGAGAATGATCTCCTGAGACATGGCAACTCCCCCATACTCTCTTCGGCACACTAAAATAAATGAACAAATATATATACACACAACATACATAATATGAATAGTCCAAGCAATGTGTCCACGAAAAAGCAGAGGAAGAAAATGAAAATGAAAGGTCTTAACAGAATGTATATTCATTCATATTTCAAATATAATTGATACAAGCATATAAAGTAATATTGTAGAACCCCATTGCTGATTTGCACTGTCAACCTTGTCTCCTGCGGCTTCTTTGATATTCCACCCACATGTCATTTGCTAGGCGATCCCTAAAACGACCCATCTCTGTTCGGCTAACTGTAGCTCCTGTTACTATTGGCTCCTCTGGGACATTGTCGTCATCGTCATCGTCATCAAATCCATCACTATTGGTTGGATCTATTTCACTAACCGGTACTCCATCACGGTAGTACTGATTTAGAAGCGAGTCCCCCTCATTTACCATGTGAATGAAATTATGTAAGATTGCACATGCCACTGGAATCTTCACTTGTTTAGTCATTGGATAAGTGTTATTGGTCCGCCTTAATATAGGGAACCTAGCCTTCCAAACACCAAATGTCCGCTCTATACAATTTCGCAGGGATGAGTGTTTGTAGTTAAAAACATCTTTAGGTCCCTTAAATCCACCACTTCTCCTTTGGTAGTCAGGCAAGTGGTAAGTCCCACCTCTGTACGGAGCAAGAAAACAACCATTGTTCGCGTACGCCGCGTCAACAAGATAGTATTTTCCTACGCAAGTTAAACGAATTTTGTTAGAATTTGGATGTTGTAACAGGTAACAAATTGAGAATCATATAGATGGGTTGCGGTCTTACCAAGCGGTGGATGTGGGAATTTGAACTTGGGTTCGGCGACCGCATCCGCAAGCACTCGTGCATCATGTGCTGAACCTTCCCAACCACTAAATATGTATGTGAACTTCATATCGAATGAACAGGCTGCCATTACATTAAGAGAGTTGAACCCTTTCCTATTGCGGTACGTAGTCTGATTTTGAACACCAATCGGTGTACACGGTATATGAGTCCTGTCAATTGCACCTATGCAGTCCTGAACAACAGATCCATAATGAAATATGTTAGTGTGTTTATAAACCAAAGTTGTGGCATACTGATAAGACTGAGAAACAAAACTTACGTTAAACCAAGTCCCATATCTATGACGATTGCCACGGACAAAATCACTAACTTTGTCATAGTTGGGAGGTTTAATGAAATCATCGTGCAACGCACAAATTGCACCTAGGACGTCACTGAATCTTCGTGAAATTGTCTCCCCCGAATGTTGCCATACATCTTGTGACTCACGATTAGTTTGACTTTGTGCAACGATGGTTAAGAAGACAAATACTTGTTCTGGGACGTTCATATTGTTTGTTGGTTGTAACAAACCTCTCTCTATTAGTATTTCACAAAGAATCCTAAATGCACGTGGTCCCATACGCACCTTGTTAAACATTGCAGCCTCATTAGTATTTGCTAATAACTCGTTCACTTTGTCTATACCCCTTAAAGCAGAGTTATGCATCGGCCTTGGTACCCGGTACTCATCATAAACAATGGCGGCGGCTGTAGCGAGGCGTATTGCTGCACGAAAGCCCCTTCTGCGGCGTCTCGTTCTGCTTGACTCCACTTCATGACTTTCGTTTGCTGAACCTTGTGGCTGCATGATGTTGCTTTAGCATTAACCTGTAACGAGAAAGTAAATACAAAAAATGTGTCAAGTATGATCTCAATTATTGTAATCTACTTCGTCAACCACCTGCGTTCCAAACTAAATGAGGAGTTGGTTATAATAACTCAAATGTATTTAAAACAATTACTCAGAAATAAACCACAACTCAAATGGTCCAAGTCATGATTTTGGAATTAAAAAAATTACACCACAACAATCCGGATCAATGGTCCAAGTGCACTACTC